GCGCTCCCCGCTCCCCTCCCGCCCCGCACGGGCCCGGGCTCCACCGGCGAGGCCGGTGCGCCCGACGGGGCCCGGGCCGCCCGCACACGGTTCTGCCCGGGCCGCGGCCTCCCGAGCGCGGTGCGGCCACGCCGCAGTGTCCCCGCGCCGCCCCCGCGCGCACCGAGGACGAAGGTCGCGGGCAAGGCCGAGCCCCGAGCGGGCCGCGATCCCGGGGAGCAGCTGAGGGCGGCCCTCGCCATCCCCGGCCCCAGGCGGGCCGTTACGCCGCTGTCCCGAGCGGGCGGGCGCTGCTCGGGCGCTGCAGCCCCAAAGAAGCGATGCGGCTGCGGTCGGTGCCGGCCGGGCCTCCCCGGTTGTGCGTTCCCGTCTGTGTCTCCCTGGCTGTGCCTCCCCGGCTGTGCCTCCCCGGCCGTTCCTCCGCGGCCGTGCCCCGGCTCTGCCTCCCTGGCTGTCCCTTCCCGGCCGTGCCTTGTTCCCGGCTGTGCCCCGGTTGTTCCTCCCTGTCCGTGCCTCCCCGGCTGTGCCCCGGCCCCGGGCGGTGCGGACGGGCCGCTGCCAGCCCCGAGCCGCCGGGAGCCCGCGGGCAGCCCTGCAGCACACGTGGAATCCGCCGTGCGGGTGACTCGGGCACTGGAGCAGCGCTGAGTCCCTCACGGCGGCTCGGGGCCCGGTCTGACCAGTTTGCCATCGGGAGTTCCTACGGGTGACAGCTGCAGCAKAATGGGCAGCTGCACGTGTGGCTGACGAGCTCCTCTCCAGTACATGGTCTGTGCGTATGGCTTTGGAGCACTAACAATATTCTTAACATCGATGGTATAGCAGTGTTTAACCGGCAGCTGGACCGGGAACAAGAGGCTCTTTACAGACTCGCCTTTGCTCTGTGTGCTTGTCAGGTACCTGATAAATCCCTTCCTCAGGCTGACACTCCGTAGCCAGGTGAAGGTGGTGTCYGGAGGGAAGTCTCCCCTGAGCAGACTCATGTTTTGTCACAAGCCACCGTTGGCCCTATGGRTGCGTGACTTTTGACTGGTCCCTGTGCCCTGTCAAGTTCCCCTTTGACTAATCATCAGCAGTAATTCTCCCCTTAGGCTAATTTCCTGTCCTGAGCTGTTTGTAAATCTGCCCCATGTCACTAGGGATGAGATGTATAGGAGCAGAGGAAGTGATGCTTTCCCAGGAATTAGGTACCTGGCTTCCTCAGTGCTCTCAGATGCCCCTGAAATGACAGACGTGATAAGATCTTTGTTATGGGGAGGGGTTTTCTGTCACTCCTTCCCTGTACTTGAGACCTGTTTGCAGTATCCTGTGCCTTAGGTGTGGTTCTGAATGAGTCTGCTCCATCTGAGGTGTGCATGGTATGAAAATAGAGGATGACTGGCAGCAGGAGGTGATTCCTGAGTCTGATTGTGCCMGGCAGTATCCAGAGTACTGGTCTCAGTCTTGCTGTGTTTCGAGAACTGCTCTGCATGGTGTGACCTCAGCCCAAGTACTGCCTTCCAGGTTTCAGAGCCCACTGTCCCTGGCCTCCCGCCACCTTCTCTGCACTGACATCTCTCCARTCTGCTGACTTCTGTTGCTCTCCTCCACTGCTGCTGGTGGCATGTGAGTGCCTCGTTTGCCAAGAAGCCAACTTGCTGTTTGAAAGCTTTCCAGGGACACGGAATTCATTCGTGTCTGTAATGACCCTTCAGCGTGAGTGGATGCCAGGGACCTCCAGAATTAAACTTGTTCCAGGCGTCATGCGAGGACCTGTGCAGGCGCGCAGGGGAGAACAATAATAGCTCCACACACGGTAGTGCCAACTCCCTCCATCTCCTCCAATGCAGGCTCAGGGATGGACTCCACCTTGTCCCTCTGAAGAGACTTTGAATGCTCTCAGCAGCCAGGAGRGGATTCTGCTGCCAGCTTCTCCACAAGCTGCCCCACGGCAGGACTTGCTCAGTGGCAGCCTGGGAGGGGATCCATTCCTGCACTTGTGTCACTGCCGTGCCCAGCACATGCCTGTGGACAAAGCAGCGTGGGCACCATCTGCTCTGAGCTCTTTGGCCTGCGCCATCTGAACTCACTGAGCTCCTGGCAGACTGTTGGCTTCTCTTCCCAAGTGCTCCCCCTGAGCCTGGTGCGTTCCCTCTGTCAGCGCCCCAAAAGGATGAGAACTTTGGAATGGGGTCTGTGAGCAGGCTGCAGCCTCGGTGCCTGTGTGAGACTGAGTAACAGGAGGACTGGTTCACTGCTGCAAGCAGCCCTTGTGTCTGGCTGCAGGGCACCAGCCTTGCCTGGGCCCTTCACCATGTTCTTCCTGCTCCCCTTTGACAGCCTGGTGGTTAATCTCTTGGGGATTTCCATAACTGTCCTCTTCACTCTGCTTCTGGTTTTCATCATCGTGCCAGCAATTTTTGGAGTCTCCTTTGGCATTCGCAAGGTTTACATGAAAACTTTATTAAAGATTTTTCAGGTAAGTCATGTTTTCAGAATGTTGTGTGTGTTTGCAGRGGTTTATCCAAGCATGGTCGTGGCAGGAAGAGGGGCTTTTGCCTCAGGAGAGCATTGTGGGTGACTGGAGTGGAAAGTTGGGCTGTCTATGTCATGCTGGTGCCAGATGACCTGTTCGGCTCATCTCAGCCTAGTACAATTTACAAGACTGCTGTTTTGGGCTGKTTTTTTTCCTGTAATTAATCTAGTAAGTCTTCAAGTAAAGAAATAGTCTGGCAAGGCTTGGCGTTTGGCACGGGTGCAACAGGGTCTGAGGGGTAGCTTGGAGGGGTTCCTGTCCCAGGCAAGGCAGAGTTCTGGTACAGCTTGATGTAAGGTGTGATATGGAGGAACCAGGCTGTAGCCAGCAGATTGCTCTTCTCCAGGACACATCTGGATGAAGCAAAAACAGGAGATAAGGCAGGACTCTCATCCTGCAAGCCCTGAGTGCTCTGCAGCCAGAACCCAGAGCTCTCAACATTGCTTCTGTCCTGGAGTGTCACCTGCTGAGCTGTGTCTGTACTGCCACTCTGGAGGACRACAGCAGCCCTTGCCGACCCTCTTGGCACAGAGAGACCCAGTGGAATTTTCCAGCTTGGTCTCATGCTGTTTCCTTGCCTGCCTTTGCTGGACTAATTTTAWGGCCTGTCTCTGAGCCAACACCTCTTGAAGCAAGTCCCTGACCAGGACAGACTTACATCTACTGAGTAGTAGGTAAAACSTGCACCACCCTACCATGGCAGCCCAGGTGAAAGGGAAAGTGCTTGCTAGGAAGGTTTTAGGCTCTTAAATGTGGAGTTGATGCTGCCAAAGGATGTGTGGTACTGCTGCTGCTGTTGGAACAGTACTGCTTGTCCCCTGTACTGGCTCGCTTGGGAAGACAGCCCTGGAGCTCACAGTACTCAGCTTTTTAAACCCTGAGTCCTCCCAAAAGCCTGGGGTGAATGGGAAGACCCTGGGCTTTGTGAGAGGCTTCATTAACACAGATATCTGAAGACCTGACTACAAATTTACTGACTGAAGCATGCCAAAAAATGGTTTCAAATGGAACTTTTCATGTTGTTTTCTTCTTTCTTTCCTTCCTTCAATTCAGGAACATTTATTCTCAACACCTATATTGGTGTTTTGAACTATTTTTTCTGAAAAGACTGGGAAGTCTAATTCAGCTTTTATTAAAGAATCTTGGTGGGATAGAGGAGCATTCATGCACAGCTGGTCACTGATTTGGTGGAAAATCCACTCACTAAGTTTGATCATTCAGAATTGTATTTTGGAGGGTTCTTATTTACCCAGAATATTTTCCCAGCTCTTGAGGGCAGTGCTAGGAACCAGAGGGGCAGCGTGGGGCAGAGTTTGTGGGACACAGCCCAGCCCGAGGTGTGGGGCCTGGCTGGCAGTGGCWCTGCTGTGCTGCTGGGGAATTAGGATGGAGATGTGCTGGCCTTGCAAGGAATGCCTTCTCCATGGGCTGCTTAGTTCCTGTGAGGTCAGAGCTCCTCTCCTGTCTTTGGGATGGCAGTATTTAGGCAACCTTCTGCAATGCTGCAGTTCACTTCTGGCAGAGGCAGCTGTGAGATGAGAGGGACACTCTGTATGCAGTGAGTATTCCCTCACCGCTGCCTCCTGATCTCGTGCTGCCATGGGCTGAGATCGGGATGCCAGGAGTTCCCAGCAACTTTTCCTTCTTCACAGATCAGCATGTTGTACACAAGTACTCCTCCTTCAGAAGCTTGTCCTTCCAGACCTACATGATGCCGAGGAATTACAGGCTAAAAAGGTTACTTGGAGGGCAGGCAGAAAAACTGCACAGAAATCCAGCCTGCACTTTTGCTGGTGCCCTTGAAAATAAGCTGAGAGAACAAGTAGTCCTGGCACAGGATTTGGCAACCAGCTGTCTGAGGGTGCTTGCTGCTGCTGTTTAGGGCAGAYTGCTGAGCTGAGAAGCAGCAGCCATTAGCTGACTCAGAGGGAAAGGTTTCCATCCCATCATCAGCCTGATGTTTTCAGCAGCAACCTGAAAACACAGTCTCTGCTTTGACTTTGGAAGAAACAAGGGTTGAAAAACAGCACCCATCTTCTCCCCTGAGCCGTGGTCCTTCCTGGAAGTCAACTGTAGAGCAGTCAGTACAATGTGGAGCTACAGGCCTTGCAAATCTTGGTTGTCCTGTGTGTCTTGCAGTGGGCCACACTGAGAATAGAGCGTGGTGCCAAGGAGAAGAACCATCCGTTGTACAAGCCCTATGTCAATGGTGAGATCCTGCCCTGCATGGCTACACGGGGAYTTCAAATTCCCTTGGGGAGGTGGGGTAAAGCAGGTGTCTCCGAGCAGCTGAGGTCTGCTGGGATGGAGATGGGTTGGAGGAAGTTCTGGAGAGCTCTGTTTCAAAAGAAGGATAGGAAAGCAGCCCAGGAGTGCTTCATTTCTAGATAGTGGGTGGTACTGGTTTATGCCTGTCTGGACTGGAGAAGGGAAGGGGATCCTGAGTAGGGCAGGTGAGGAAGGGCCTTGGCTTTTGTCTCTCTTTGAACAGGCAAGTCCCACTTTGCTCAGAGCTGCCTRTGGCTGTTGCAGGTATCATTGCAAAGGAGCCAACGTCACTGGAAGAGGAGATCAAGGAGATGCGGCGGAGTGGCAGTGGCAAAGCCCTGGACACCCCTGAGTTTGAGCTCTCAGATATCTTCTATTTCTGCCGCAAAGGCATTGAGACCATCATGGATGATGAAGTGACCAAAAGGTTCTCAGCTGAAGAGCTGGAGTCCTGGAACCTGCTCAGCAGGACCAACTACAACTTCCAGTACATCAGCCTGCGCCTGACCGTGCTCTGGGGGCTCGGCGTGCTCATCCGCTACTGCTTCCTTCTGCCTCTCCGGTGAGTGCTGCCCAGGGCCTGCCTGCACACGCTGCTGCTGGCCTGCTTTGCCAGCTTGGACTGTCCCTCTTTCTGCAGGATAGCCCTGGCATTTACTGGCATCAGCTTGTTGGTGACTGGTACCACGGTGGTGGGGTATTTGCCAAATGGAAGGTGAGTTCATCTTTGAGGGAAGAGCAGATGGGGAGCACTCCGTGCGGTTTAAGACCTGAAAATCCTGAAATTTTCCTGCAAGGCCTTCTGTTCTGCCACCTGCAGACACAGCAGGTGGTCCTGGCAGCTGTGGCTTCTCAGGAATGGACACCCTGTAATTTTRCACAAAGGGCCTAGATGTGAGCACTAAGTCTGTGGTGGAGCRCTCAGCCCTGGCCTCTGAAAGGAGTAATAATGGAAAAGAGCAAAGGCCAAAATTTCATTCTCATGAGTTAAGAATTAGTGATCATAAGCTGATGGCAAAGGCCAGGACRTGCTGTGTTTCTGTGGCACAGACCTGAAGGCTTGGCTGGATCTCCCAGCCTGGGGCAGCTGGGTGCAGTGCTGCTGTCACGGGGAGCTTGTAGGATGGGCAGTAACGGTCTCTGTCTGAGCTGCAGGTGCAAGGATTTCCTGAGCAAACACGTTCACCTGATGTGTTACCGCATCTGCGTGCGGGCCCTGACAGCCATCATCACCTACCACGACCGGTAAGGCCTGGCTGCTGCATGCCAGCCCTTGGGCAGGCCCAGGCTCCCTTTCTCTCTCCTCACCTCTCCCTTTGTTCTGCGTTCAGAGAAAACAGACCCCGGAATGGAGGCATCTGTGTGGCCAACCACACCTCTCCCATTGATGTGATCATCCTGGCCAGCGATGGCTACTACGCCATGGTGAGGAACCCCCTGCCTGCCAGGACCTGGCTCCTGCATGGAGGGGCAGCAAACCTTGTGTGGGGCAGCAGGAACCCTTKGAACATGCAGAACTACTTCTCCCTGCATCACATGGCAGGGAACTGTCCCACTCTCTTGTGCATGGCTCTTGTGCAAGCTCAGCCTGGAACTTGGGGGGCCAATGGTCTGCGGGCACAGCTTTGCAGGAACTCTAGGCTTTGCTGTTGTTGGAAGAGCAGAGTGCTTCCCCAGCTGGAYCTCCTGCAATGGGAAAAGCACTTGAGGTTTGCTGTATCTGTCCTTCAAGTCAGAGCCAGGGACTTGGCCTCTTAGCCTTTACAGGGTAGCGTAGGAAGATGAACCTCAGTTTGGCTGTGAAACTSAGTGCTGCCTTGACTTTCATGTGTGCCCAGCTCTTGTAACTTGTGTGCTCTTGCCCTGTTCAGGTGGGGCAGATCCATGGAGGCCTCATGGGTGTGATACAGAGAGCCATGGTGAAAGCTTGTCCCCACGTGTGGTTCGAGCGTTCWGAGGTCAAGGATCGTCACCTCGTGGCCAGAAGGTGTGACAGTCACTGCCCAGGGACGGGGCTGGGGGAGCAGGGCACTGCATGACCTCGTGGGTGCTGGGAGATTGTTCCCCTCTTGTTGGCACCCTGAGAGTCCCTGGTGACTGCAGGCCAAGGACTCTTACACTGTGTGCATTGCTAGTGAGAGCTTTTGTTCCCTCTGCTAATTTTTGACACTTTTCTTTTTAGGCTCACAGAACATGTCCAGGACAAAAGCAAATTGCCTATTCTTATTTTTCCAGAAGGTGAGTGCAACCAGGCCAGACAAGCACCAGGTGGAGAGGGTACCTTGAGATGGCACCGCATCTCTGTTCCCTTCCTTCTTACACAGCCAAGGGCCTGACCCCTTCACTGGGACAAAAGGGACATCTTTAGAGCTGACTGAGCTCAGAATGCAGGAGTCATAGATGATGTCCTGGTGACCCRTTCTGTGCACACAGAGAACAGGGCTTGGACTGAGAGTTAGGGGAGAGTTGCTGAGTTCCTGTGGCCCTGCCCTTAAGCCTGTACTTTAGACTTCTGAACTGAATTGCAGAGGAAAGTTAAGATTGTGCTTGCCTCTTACAGGAACATGCATCAACAACACATCTGTGATGATGTTCAAAAAGGGGAGCTTTGAAATCGGAGCCACAGTTTACCCTGTAGCCATCAAGGTATGAGAAGGCAACTTTCTTAAGGCACAAGTCTGTCTGTCCCTCTGTATCTCTGTCCAGCCTGGTCTGAGGGCACAGGAAAGCCAAGGTCACTYGGTGTAGTGCCTTGGGAGAGCTGACCTGTAGCCAAGCTTGGGGTGGAAGTGCAGCCTCAGAGAGAGTGCAACCTCTGCCTGACCTCCAGGAACTCTTCTGCCTTTATAGTATGACCCACAGTTTGGAGATGCCTTTTGGAACAGCAGCAAGTATGGCATGGTGACCTACCTCCTCAGGATGATGACCAGCTGGGCCATTGTCTGCAGTGTCTGGTACCTGCCCCCAATGACCAGACAGGTCAGTAAGGTGAACCCAGCCTGTCTGATCACGTTCCTGTTTGGCCCTTTGCTCCTGCTGAACAGTTTTACTTTGCCACAGCCTGAAGAGGATGCAGTGCAGTTCGCCAATCGAGTGAAGTCAGCCATTGCCAGGCAAGGGGGCCTTGTGGATCTGCTCTGGTGAGTCCATGCAGGCTTTTCCTGGTGCCAGAGTTCCTTTCTTCTTGGTCCTGGCACGTGCTCGTGGGCTGTAGAGCTTCACGTGTGTCTTGCCTAGGGTCGAGCAGGCCTGTGGAGGAATGTTCTTTTGTRCTGGGGACCAAAGCTGCTTCTGTGTGCTGGGCATCAGGGCTTTGTTCTGTGGTTGTAGCTTGCTTGGGGACGCCCTGGGTTTGAGCTGTTTSTGCTCAGCAAGGTGTGTCCAGCTTGGCAGTTCCTTTGCCAGGCACTGAAGTCTCAGAGCCTGGGAGGCAGGCAGTCAGCCTCCTGTAGTGGTATCAGAGTAGTTCCTGTTTCTGGCAGAGCTGCTCTTTAGAGCACAGTGCAGAGCTGTGGGCAGCTCCTGGCAGAACCAGGTAAGAAAGTGATGCCCTTTGGGGTCGGGTGGTCTGCRGTGTGCCCTGGCAGCATGTGCTACAGGGGCAGCCCTGAGCAATCCCAGCCAAAGGTGGTGCCTGCCTGCAGCCCCTCTGACGTGACTCTCTCCCCAGGGATGGAGGACTGAAAAGGGAGAAGGTGAAAGATGCATTCAAGGAGGAGCAACAGAAACTCTACAGCAAAATGATTGTAGGCARCCACGAAGACCGGAGCCGCTCGTGAGTCTGCTGCCTCCAGCACTGCCACMGTGGCCAAAGCCCTCTGCCTCCAGCACCAACCAGGGCTTGTCTGGAGCAACTCTCAATCTTTGGACTTGGCTATTCCAGAGCTGCTTGGACTTGCTCCTTCATCCTCTGGCTGTTGTTTCCTGGAGGCACTGTTACTGTCTGGAGTCTTTAGGCCCTTGGCAGCTCCTGGCAAAGATGCCTTCTCGTTCCTGTTACAGTGAAGCCCCTTGCAGGGGCAATATTAAATGAAACTCTTACAGTGTCATGTGCTTCCATCTGATGTGTCCAGCCCCGAGGAAGGACTGGTGTGATGTGCATGTGTGTCAGTCACAAGTCTCCCACAGCACAAAAGCTGATGAACTGTGCTGAAGTTGGCTGCCTTGACAGCCAAGGAAGTCCTCGTGAACCTGTGCCCCCTGTGTGTGGCATAAACCCCTTAGGAGCAGAATATGGTCTCTCAGGCCATTTCCAAATCCACTATCAGGAGAAATCTTTTGCCACCTTCCTGTGCCSCAGACTGTTGGTTCTGCAGGGTCTGAGTAAGAGCCTCTTCGCTGCTCCTGAGGCAGTGAGGATCATCCTCCTTTGGAAACCTCCTCTGTCCCCTGCAGGGAGCCCGGTGTCACTGGAGTGGCAGCTGGGTCTCCTGAGGAATCTGTGTGTGCTGTAGTGGGAGCCCAGGGTGTGGAGGAGAGTCCGAGACTTCATGGCTGGGGCTGCAAATCCCTTTTCAAATGTCTGCTGAGGGAAACAGTGGGATCTGATCTTGTCCTGCACCAACACACACATGGATAGTATCAACTTGTTGCAAGAAAACTGAAATTTAGTGCTGGAGATAGTGCCCCGTTTCTGCTCTGCAAGTAAATTATTTAGTAAAACAACTTGCATTTCAGCATTTATCCCATGTACTTCCCCATTTTCCTTACATTCCTACAAACTTGAGCACTTAAACCGGGTTCTCTGCTATTATAAGCAAGAGCTGTTTCACTGCTTTCGCCGAAGCCTGCCTGCATTTTCTAGCACTCTGGAGAAGGCAGTTACCTAAGTGCCTCCTTTTTACCTCAAGTGTTGTTTGTTGGGGAGGGCATCTGCTACCCCGGGTAAGAACAGCTGTTCAGTGTAAGTAGCCTTAAATCTGAATTTTCCTGTGGTTTTATTTCCTGTTTGCCTGATGGAACTTTGCTGCTCTGGCCCCAAGTCTTGCAGAGCTTTTCMCTCGCTCTGGGGCCATTTGGACACTGACCCCTGCACCTTGCTGTGGTCTGGCCAGCTTAGAGGGAGCCACCGTGGGCCATGGGGTGCCCGGGCAGTGCCAAGCTCCTGGGTGCTGTCATGACCTTTCACCATGTGCCAAACCACTGCTGGGGACACAGCTCTGTGCTGGGGACGTGGACATTGCTGCCTGCCAGTCCCTGCTGCCCAGGCAGCCTCTCCAGGCTCTTCTGCACTTGTCCCCCATTCAGCAGCTGCTCCTGAGGATTCTCAAGGGCTGTGCCCCCAGGAGCTCTCCTCTCTGGGAGAAGGACTGACATTTCCTCCAGGCATTGCTGAAGACCCCAGGCCTCCCCCCTCCCTGCCATGCTTGGACCCAGCTGCAGGTGCCCACAAGTTTCCTGCCTGCAGTTGGCTCCCCTGTCCCTGCTGCYGTGCTGATGTGCAGAGCTCTCCTCAGCTTTGCAGGACCTGCAGCCACCCTGCTGTGCTCAGGGACCATCCCCAGCAGCGTCCAGGATGCTCCACAGCAGGCAAGCGACTGGCTGGACAGGTTAGGAAGCACACATCCATCTTTCCTCGGCTCTTCCACCCCATGCCCCCAGTCAATATGTCTCTCTACGATGAGAAAGTTAATAAATTTAGCTCTAGATTAAAAGTATCGATCATTTCATTTGTAAGCGATAAATAACCAGGGGGGGAGCACTGGGTGGCCCACGGGGTAGGAGCTGCTGGCTGGGGCTGCAGCAGCCGTGCACCCCAGTGGGGCCAGGAGCCCTCATATGCATTCTGCCTGGATGCTGGCATTGATTTGCTATTAGTCTCCACGCACCACCCAGTAGCACATCATTCCCGGAGCCGCTATTAATGGCCTTTTGATAAATAATCACTTGTAAGTCAATAAATTTTTATTAAACAGTGTGGCGCTTTGATTTATGAAAATCCGACGGGGTTTGTCTGGGAGAAAAGGGATGCAGAATTGAAGCGGAGCTGCTATCCATCTGCCTGCCAGGCTGGCCTGCCCGTGCTCTCAGAGGCTGCCTGGCAGCGGGCACAGCGCGGGCACAGCCGCTGGCACCGCTCCTGTCCTGACCCAGCACGGGAGAGGAGCCTGTGCTGCAGCAGCAAAYGGCAGTGGCACTGCAGGAGCCGCAGTGGCAGCGTGGGCAGCAGGAGGGTTTGGTCCYGCACGGGCCAGCACTGCTCCTGCTCCTGTCTCAGCATGGGATGCACTCGGCAGCCCGGCTGCAGCGGCCATTTGTCAGTCTCCCTGCCTACAGCAGGCCCTTTGCCACCTGCTTTATTTGTCTCCCGGCCCTGACGTGGCATCAGACAGGTGTTAAACTACTTAATCACTTTAAAATTGTTTTAATTTTCTGTTTTGTATTGATCTCCACAGCACCAATTAATCAGCTCACTGGACCAGGCAGTTAGTACATTAAAAATTGTCAGCCAAGCTGGGCAGTTTAGAAAATGTTTAAAAAATATCCCACCAGCAGCCCCTCGCTTCTCCCAGCATGTGGAACCTGCTCGTGCTGAGCACTGGCTCTGTCCACAGACAGGGATGTGTCTCTTGAGTGCTGCCAGCAGCCCCATGCCCGTGCCATCCCACACCCTTGGCTCTGTCCCACGGAGGAGCTGCAGGACTGAGGGGGCAGCTTTACAAACCCCATGCTCACTGCAGGGGCTGGACAGAGACCTCTACAGGGAAAGTARTCCCCTCAGCCCTGGAAAAGTGGCACCGAGCAGTCAGGGCTCCTCGCAAAGCATCCACAGCCCGGTGACAGATTGGAGAGGGCTTGGAGCCAAGTGTGGGCCTTGGTGGGATGTACAGCAACGATCTTCAGCCCCACACAGGGCTGGTGTTTAGGGTCACTGAAAAGTCCCAGTGGTTCGGGAGCTTCAGCAGCCCCAGGCACGGACYTGGCCACCAGCCTGTCACAGGTAGTGCCTTCCCCCGCCCCGCTCTGCCCCTTCCGTGCCTGTGCCATGCTGCTAATCAGGACCTTATCTCCCATTGATTTCCTTCCAAGACACAGCCTACGTGTTTGCTCACACCTGGCCAGCACTTAGCTGGCTCTTAGCTGAACAACTGCTGAGCTTGCCTGGCCCCAGCGCTGTGCCCGTGCCAGCCACAGCCCCTGCGGCCACCTCTGCAGCTGAGGATGGCTGGCCCTGGACAGCACCCAGAGCTGCTGTGCCACTGGTGAGCCATGGGGAGCCAGAGCAGGGGTGTGCAGTCCCATGTGCACACACGTGTGTGTCTGTATGTGCAGCCCCATGTGCACACACACGTGTCTGTATGTGCAGCCCCATGTGCACACACGTGTGTGTCTGTATGTGCAGTCCCATGTGCACACACGTGTGTGTCTGTATGTGCAGCCCCATGTGCACACACACGTGTCTGTATGTGCAGCCCCATGTGCACACACGTGTGTGTCTGTATGTGCAGTCCCATGTGCACACACGTGTGTGTCTGTATGTGCAGCCCCATGTGCACACACACGTGTCTGTATGTGCAGCCCCATGTGCACACACACGTGTGTCTGTATGTGCAGCCCCATGTGCACACACGTGTGTGTCTGTATGTGCAGCCCCATGTGCACACACGTGTGTGTCTGCATGTGCAGCCCCCATTGCACAGGGGTGCAGCACAGAGCATGGGGGAGCCAACAGGCTGGCAGGCAAACACACTGGGGCTATTGATGCCACATCAATCCCGCAGCCCCGACAGGTGAATGGGCTCTCACTCACACTGTTAAGATAAATGATATTTATTTGCTGCTAAGAGCTTCCAGTAAGAGGCCCCAAAGTGTGACTTTTGAACCAGCACCTCTTTCTGCTGGTACACACCCGAACCAGAGAAAACCCTGGGAAAATCTCCAGGGCTCCCCTATTCCTCTGGGGTCTTCCTGCTCCACACACAGCACCACAGCATGGCCCCTTCCCCTGTCTGGCATGCAGACCCTGCCCCACACATCCTATCCCCAGCCCTTCTCCAGCCCAGCCTCACAAGGCCACCCTGGACAGCATGCCCACGAAACAAGTGCTGGGACTCGACTGGGACCTTTATTTCATCAACGCTGATAACATGGCTATACCTGACACTACCCATGTGTGCTGCTCCCAGCCCTGAAAGCCATGCTCCCCATCCAGCTGCCAGCCACTCCATCCCAACAGGCAGGCASCTGCTGGTGAGAGGAGTCAGCCCTGGGCAGGATGGAGGTGCTGAGCCAGTCACCCCCAGCCCAGAGGGGCAGGATGTGCTGCTGCTCAGCCGCTGGGCGTGCCCAAGCCCAGCATCGAGAAGGCTGCACGGTGCTTCCTCAGCAGCAGCCGGATCTTCTCATCGTCTGAGTCTGGGTCCAGGGGCTTGTTGTACTCATCATCCTCGGTCTCAGAGGCTGCCCGCTCTCCGCCAGAGCCCCCCGCCCGCTGCGAGGATGAGGAGGGCTCCAGGGCACTCTTCTTCCGCCATTTGGTCCGTCGGTTCTGGAACCAGACCTGTCGCCCCACGGGCCCAGCTCAGTTAGCTGCCAACACACTGTACACCCCACATCACAGAGGCACCAATACTCACCTTCACCTGAGACTCAGTCATGCCAAGAGAATAGGCCAGCCGTGCTCTTTCCGGACCTGCCAGGTACTTGGTCTGCTCAAAAGTCTTCTCCAGTGCAAAGATCTGGTGCCCCGTGAAGGTTGGGCGCGTGTGCTTCTTCTTGTGGATGCTGTCAGCCAAGTGAGCAGGAGCTACAGGAGAGAAGGAGAGAAGTGGGTGAGCTCTTGGCAGCCACAACTCTGGGCAGCTCTTCCCTTGTGCACACTTATCAGCCTTAAGTGGCCAAAGATTCACTCCACACCTTCTCCTCTCCAAATTAAAACTATATTCCTCCTTGGGGGTTTGAGTCCCATCCCAGGAGGGCTGAGCTGCCCACTGTGCAGGTCGCACAGAGCCAGAGCTGGGCTATGCACCTCCTGATCAAGGACAGTGCTAAGTGGTTGTGGCGAGAGCCTAAGGGTTGCTATCAACAGTGCTTGACCCCAGAGTCACTGGGAACACTGTGCCCTCATGCCCCACCTTGCAGGATGCATGACAAAAGACAGGCAGAGCTGGTCATTGGCTCATAGCTGTGTCAGAAGCAGAGAGCCGAACTGCCTAACCCATCTGCTCCRAAAGCATCACCTGCAAGGGGCTCAGGGGGACCAGAGCTGCAGGTTCTGAGCGGCTGCACCCAGGGCTTTCCATTGAAGAGTGGGTGTGCCCATCCCGCCCACCCTCGGGGACAGCGGCAACATCGGCAACATTCTCTGCGATTCCCCTGCCAGCTCTCCACCAGGAAGGCAAGTGCTGCCAGCCCAGAGCAGGCCATGCTGCCTGCCTCTGCCCTGACCTAAACTGTGCACTGACCCCCAGTCAGACTGCCTGAGGGACGGGAGGATTTGCGAGTCAGAGGGCTCTGCCCGTTCTTGCCAGCTGTGGCTACCTGGGGGCGAAGAATTAGTACTGGTCATTGGAATTGCCGCCGCCCTTGAGCCAAAAGTTCTGTGACAGTTTGAGGTGCAGCAGCTCCGGCACTCGGGCCTTTCCCAGTGTCCTGAGGCCACCCAGCTGTGCCTGTTGCCGGGCGCTGGAGAAAGCACCTGCAGCCCCAAGCACCCAGCACCCAGCCGCTCTGTCCCCGGTACTTACGGCACTGCCGGCTGCCCCGCCACTCCGGAGCGGCCTCTGCCCAGCAGCTGCGTCCCCGCGGCAGGTACTCGCCCCCGGCCTTGGAGAGGGCGCCCACCTGGGGCCCGTAATAGACGCCCGGGGAGCTCAGTCCGTTCAGTCCGCCCGCGTGGGGGTAGCCAGGAAGGAGACTGCTGCTCGGTGTCGCCGCGGGCCGGCCCAGGATGTCGGAGATGCCGTGGGGGGTGCCAGCAGCCAGCTGGGCRCCCAACCCCGGGTGTCCCAGCTTGTAGAAAGAGCTCTGCACTGAGTACTGGCAGACAGGCGCCTTGGCCTCAGGGAAGGGGCCCAGCGAGGGGCCGTTGAGCAGGAAGGTGCCCGGCAGGTTGGCATCCATGGTTCTGGCACCAGGGCGGCCCTCAGAGCCCGGAACCCTGTAGGTGCGATGGCTAGCCCATTCCCACTGGCCTGGGAACTACGGGCCCCCGAGCCGGGCCGGGCCGGTGGCYCCCTGGCTGGCAATGGCACACGGGCGGGGGCCGGGCCGCGGGCAGCCTGGGAACGGCCCCGGGACCCCGCACCGGCTCCGGCCCGGACCCTCAACTTGGGCTCGGGCAGCGCCAACATTTCTCTGATAAAGACGAGGCGCATTAGAATAACGCGCTCCCATTGGCCGGGGCTCTGCGGGCGGCGCGCCCATTGGCTGAGCCTCCGCCGCCTCGGCCGCCATTGGCTACGCCCGACGGACAGCGCGCCATTGGCCCCAGCCAGACAAATTGCGCTTTGAACAGCGGCGGCAGCGGCACGGAGCGGGACAGGGGACACGGGACAGGACAGGGGACACGGGACAGGGGACACGGGACAGGGGACAGGGGACAGGGGACAGGGGACAGGGGACACGGGACAGGGGACACGGGACAGGGGACACGGGACAGGGGACACGGGACACGGGATAGGGACAGGGGACATGGGACAGGGGACAGGGGACAGGGGACACGGGACAGGGGACACGGGACACGGGACAGGGGACACGGGACAGGGGACACGGGACACGGGACAGGGGACACGGGACAGGGGACACGGGACACGGGACAGGGGACGGGGGACAGGGGACAGGGGACAGGAGACACGGGACAGGGGACAGGGGACACGGGACAGGGGACACGGGACA